TGCTGACCTGGGACCCTCACTCTGGACATTAGGATAACTCTCTTGAGGGATGCAGAGTCAAAGTACTACATTTTCAGTTAACTCAAAAAAATTCTTCTAGCCGAATATGGTGGCACATGCCTATAGTCCCAGCACTTGGGAGGCTGAGGCAGGAGGATTGTTGCAAGTTCAAGACCAGCCTGGGCCACAAAGTGAGCTCAAGGCCAGCCTGAACTGCATAGTGAGACCCTGTCTCAGAAAGACAAACAAAACAATTCTTCTAGGCATGTTAAACCATTAACTCAATATATTTGTTCATTTGTTTCATTTTTATTTTGGTTCTTAGTGAGTTTTACTGTTTTTATTTAATCTTGTTTTCATAGTTAGGTAAAATATTTGCATTGTCTCAAAGTCAAATATAAGATCAGAAAAACCTAACACTCTTTCCTGTCTCTCCTATTCTTTCCTTCCCTCTCACTGGCTTTCTGTTGTAGCTATTGCTGTGCATTTGTATGACTCCTTTATTATATAAAAGAAGGATAATGTTGCTTTAGCATTTTATCTTGGAAATCAGTTCACTGTATTTTAAAGAGTTCTCCCTCCTATTTATAGGTACATAGTACTCCGTTGTATGATTATATGGCTTAATTAGTCCTGTAGTAAAGTCTATGAACATTTAGATTAACCATATTTGCCTGTTAAAAACACTACTAATTAAGGCTGGAAGTGTGGCTTAGTGGCAAAGTGTGTGCTTAACCTCTGCAAAGCCCTGGGTTCAAACCTAGCACCAAACAAAAACAAAATAGTACTATAATGAATAGCACTGTGTATACTCCTTTTTTTTTTTTTAACATTACGTAGTAATGTGGAATCCAAGAACATCTGGGAAAACCATTAGTTGTAGAGGGAAGCATAGATTAGCCGTTCTAATTTGGGGATAGAAACGAGAAGTCGGATCAGGAGCCAGTGTTTGAGCACTCTACTCACCTCATCACAAAAGTGCTTTGGAAAGTGCAGTACAACCATTCTACAAATGTGAAATGTGCTATCTCTTCAGTCTCTGGAATCCAAACACACAATTCTAATGAATTGTAGGTCTGCTTTTAAAAGAACGCACTCATAAATTAGATAGTTCTGCTGAAAGATATCATTTCATTTTACGTTTCTCTTTAGCAAACCTTTCACACCTGAAAGGCATCGACTTTTGCTTTCCTGAATTCACGCCTGTCTTTTCCTCCCGGGCCTCAGATCCCTGGTGGTAACTAATGAGTATCTGCTGCAGCAGCTGAATAAAGAGCAAAGAGGTTATTCCGGGAAAACACTCCTGCCTCCTGAGAAGAGTCAGCATCTGGGGAGATCGTCGCCCTTTGGGAAAAGCACTCTGTCTTCCTCCCCGCCAGTGGCGCATGACACGGGTCAGTATCTAATACAGAGTGTCTCAGAAGCTGCCCCAGAGCCTACTTTGTGGAGCTAGCATCGAACACCTTTTCGGCCACCTCCCTGCCATCCACGGAGGGCTCTCAGTGCCATCGACACCAGTGTGGTGGTGTTTACTCCCCAAGATTAAGAAAAATCTTATTCTGATTACACTGAATTGTTCTCTTTTTATTTCTCTGTGTATCTCTCCCCCAGTGAATCATTTTTTCCTTCTGCCTACCCAAATTTTTGGCACTTAGTTCTAAGCATCATATCACACAGAAACATTTGACTGAAAATGTCAAAAAAGGAAAACCACTGGACATTTTCCCTAGTGTCATTTGAAACTCGGTGGTAGAAAATAACCAAGGAACCATCAGGTGTCTTTTGTGTTAGAAGACATTTTAGCGACTGTGAGTTAATTTACCAAACAAGTTTGGGATTTTTGTCCTGCCACAGGAGCAAGGTGATGGCGTCTGGTGTCTGCTCTGGAGCAGCACAGTTTAATTAGGGAAAAAAAACAAAACACTCCTGTGATGGAGCTTGCTGCTTGGAATTACCTGGGCAACCTAGAGAATCTCAAAATTAGAAAATAAAAACGAGGATTGAGATATAGCCCACTGAGAACGCTTTGGGTTCAGTCCTCCATAACACACACAGACACAAACACAGAGAGAGAGAGAGAGAGAGAGAGAGAGAGAGAGAGAGAGAGAGAGAGAGAGAAAGCTCCAAGAAAAAGATTTGAGGGCTAGGGATTTAGCTCAGCAGCTCAAATGCTTGCCTGATAATTGTCAGTTCGATCCCCAGTACCAAAATAAATAAATAAATGGGGAAAAAAGAAAAAAGATTTGAGAGACAGAGACAGAGCAATCCCAATGGTGTGTGAGTGGAAGAGCAGGATGGTAAGAAGGACAGGAGTATGAAGCTTCCCAGGCCAGTGCAATCTGGAACCCCCAGAGGACTCCCAGGGGATGGACAGAGGTGGAACGTATCACCGTAAGAGCAGGTAACCAGAGAGCCATCCTAGCCTGCAAAATATGATGTCAGGAAAACATCCCCCGAGGCCATTCGACTGACACTTGAGAATAAGTAAAAGGAGACTAAGTCAAGCCAGTCTCCACGGAGGGAGCAGTGGGACAAGCTGCAGAGAGAAGCGGAGCAGGCTGGGGAAGGGGCGGGGATGCAGTGCTTTCAAGGGTAACCGGAGTGCAGCTCCCTGGAGATCTTCTTTGGGGCAGCAGGGAGTCTGAGAGGCTTTGTGTGTGTGCAGCGTGGACTCACGGTGCTGCCAGGCAAGAGAGTTGCTGGACGGCAGAGGGAGGCAGGGGAGCCCACTGAGACGATGATACTCCGATACTCCGCATCCATTCTGCATACAAGTACCCTGTGTTTCTTTTTCTTTTTCCCTTTCTCCCCCCACCCCTCCCAGCACCAGGGACTAAACCCAGGGCCTTTACAGTGAGCTACATCTTGCTAGGTAGCTAGGTTACCCAGGCTGGGCTTGAACTTGAGATCTTTCTGTCTCAGCCTCAGAGTGCTAGGGTTACAGGTGGTGTGCACCACCATCCCCAGATAGCCTGCATTTCTTTAATCCCAGGTGAACAGGAAAGACAATGCAAGTGATTCTAGATAGGCTTCCTCTTGGAGTTTCTCTCAGGTAACTGATGTTGCTGGAGCGTGCAGAGGGTAAAAGACCATCAACCTAATGTGATGTTACATCAGAGAGAGAAGAGGTGGAAGGATCAGACACTCATTGTTCGACCCCTGTCTCTAGTGCTATGCAGGGAAGGATGCCTATTGTCATCCAAATGAGTCATGTGACCTCCCCTGTCTAAATTACAGGATTTCTGCCTTTTGTGTGGCTTCCTAAGAGGACCCTGCACAGAAGAACCATGGATGTTTTTGATCTGTTTGCTCCTAGGCAGCCACTGTGGGAAATGACAGTGAGAACCTCCCTGACCCCTCTGCCCTGGTAGCCTTGGTAGCCCCCTTGGCAGGGTTAGAGGTAGTCCTGGCCTTGGGTCTCTGCTAAGGTGCGGCCCAGGCTAAATTGCTGTCTCATCCTCCTGCCGCTGTGCAGAGAGACAGCCTGTCCTTGTCCCAATTGAGAGGCCTCCACTTGCCTAGAAAGACAACCTTGAGTTGTCACATTTCAGGGAAGGGGCCCAGAGCCTGAAGCAGCCTCCTAGGCAGACCTCCTGGGCAGATCATCAAGCAGGGGGGTGGAAATAGCCCACTTCTGCCCTTCTCACTTCTAGTGTGGACATCTGATGATGGTAGCCATAAAATATGCTCAGAGCGTCCCTGAGGAGGAGAAAAAGAGTCTAACCCAGCCTGAACCACCTTCCCACCTTTTCCCTTTGTCACTGAAAATGGCTGGCCCTGGCCCAAGCCACAACACAGGGAACAGAAGACCCCTGAAGTAAGAAAAAAAAAGTGGAAAATAGTTTCTCACCTAGCAGGAGAGAGAAGACAAGTTTGGGGTAGAGATGGTCCTCAAGGAAGTTCTGTGCCTGGAGAGAGAAGCAGGGCCACTCCGACAGGCTTCCCATAGTTCACAGTTGTCCACTCCATCCTACAGATCTTAGCCATCATTCCCTGCCAGCCTGGCCTTTTTAGCATGGGTACCAGGTTTTTGGCCACCAGGAAGGCTCAGCCTTTTCTAGAACCCTTGGCTCCAGGTTCTATCAGTCTCTTTGTCATAGCAAGAAGGGAGCTGGCACCAAAGCATCAGGCTTGGAAATAGCTCTGGCCCAAAACCAGGGCCTGAGAGAGAGGGTTTGCAAACTCCCAGAAGCCCTAAGGACCAGACAGGCATCACCTGCCCCACTGAGTGGAGAACAGATGGGAAGAAATCAGTGCATGAGCCACCTGCACTGTGGAACAATCCCTGGCCACCACCATGATCAGCGGGCGGCAGGCTCTGTCACTGTCTGGCCATCCAGCTTCACTTTTGGACATCAGCCTTGACACACACTGTGCTAGAGAAGCCTGGCCTGGAGGCAAGAAGCACAGTCCAGCTTCATCTGCAGAAACCCCTTCCCTCTCTGGACCTTGGTTTCCTCTGCTATAAAATGAGGAAGTCAAACCAGGTACAGTGTCACATACCTGTAATCCCAGCATTTGGGAGGTTGAGGCAAGAGGATCACAGAAGTTGAGGCCAGCCTGGGCCACATAGCTCAAGGCCAGCCTCAGAGCAAGACTGCCTCAAAAAACAAAAAGAGGGAGCCAAACTATGTCCTCACTCAGGTTCCTCTGAGCTTCCTGAGATTCTTGCCTTGGTAGCCCCGTTGGCAGGGTTAGAGGTAGTCCTGGCCTTGGGTCTCTGCTAAGGTGCGGCCCAGGCTAAACTGCTGTCTCATCCTCCTGCTGCTGTGCAGAGAGACAGCCTGTGACGTCAGGCTCCAGGTCAGGGCCCAGTTAAGAGGCTCTGCATTTCCCTCAGGGCCATCTCAGGCCATCTAGCTCTGCGCTAATGGAATAGGACTCCTGTTTCTCTCTTTCTGGGCAGGGCAGCCAGAGGGATGGGGAAAGATCAGCAGGGAGTGATGATACTGAAGGGGGCACTGGGGTGTGAATGTCATTACCCAATCAGGCCACACCGGTACAAAAGGTGTCTTTATTGAGGTCTGGGTACGAATTAGGCACTTGGCCAGAGCAGCAGCTTAAATACGAGGCAAGCAGGCAGGATCAGCCATGCCTGGGTCAGGCTGGGGAGGTGAGGTTAGAGGCACAGACTGTCCCCAGACAGAAGTCAGGAGGCAAGAGGAGGAAGGGGATGCAGAAAGTCTAGGTTAAAGGCCTGGTGGGCTGGCCCTGTGGGGCTGGGCGGGAAGCTCTGGGTGGCAGGTCCAGCAGGGAGGGAACCAGGCTCTCTTACTCCACGGACCACAGCCCCGGGTCTGAGCCCCTGGAAAAGGGAGCTGCACTGGGGCCATCTCAGGCCTCACTTCTTCACCTTGGCATCATAGGTGCCCGCATTCTTGTAGGCACTCACGTAGCCACTGTCGTCCAGAATGTCCTGCCGTCCGGCAATGCCCTTGCCCTTGCCGCTCTCATCGAAGCGCTCTTTGTGGGAGCCGGTGTACTTGCTGGTGTCAGTCAGCCGTTCCACAGCACCCCCTGTTTTTGCTTTCTGTTTAGACAAGAGTTGCCCCAGGGGCTCTTGGTGAGGGAGTTTGGCCCCTTCCCACCCCGTGTGGAAATTCCCTACATCCCCTCAGCTGCCAAAACAGACCAGCAGGGCACTTACAGTGACGCCCAAGTTAGCTGGTTCCTTGCCTGCCACCAGTTGGCAGATAGCATCGAAGGCCTCCTCCTTGCTCTTTCCCTTGAACCGCTTGGTGGCCAGCTCTTCCAGGGCCTTCTTGAACTCCTCATAGTTGATGACCCGGGCTGACTTCCCCCTGCCAGGCACATGGGCATCGTGAGTGCTCTCTCTCTCCATATCCTCCCCAGTTCCAGCCCCCAGGCCCCGCCCTCTGGGAACATGAGAATCAGGGTCTGCTTAGGGCTCACTTGACTTTGGAGAAGACGATGTCAACGTCCGTCCCTGTCACGGCCTTTCCATCAGCCACCTTGCAGTCCTTGCACAGCTTGGCCCAGTTCTTGCCGTTCATCTCTTGCCCGCTTGCCTTAGGGTCACCATGGATGGCAAACTTGCGGAAGCTCTCCTGCAGCCCAGCTACATCTGTGCTTGCTGCCATGCCACCCTGTGGGGACCCACCTTGGTCACCTCTTCGCCAAGTTCCCTCCCTCTACCAAAGCCAGGAATGTCCTTGCTTGCCCCCTCAAAATCAGCAGGGTCCACGTGCACAGCACTTCTGTTTCAGCCCCTCAGACCAATGCTAGAGCTGCCAGGGGAGAGGGGAGTGTTGAGTGTCTACCTGGACCCTAGATCCTGAGGAAGAGCCCAGAGAGGAAATGTCCTGTCAGTGCCAGCCCTGGCTCCAAGTAAGGTTAGAAGATGACATCATGATGTCCACACCATGCTGGGAACAGAGTGGCACTGTCCAGAAAGGCTAGGAGGGCAGCAGCTGGGACATGGCTTTGTCTGTCCCTGGCACAAGGCCTGTTTGGATAGAAATGAGGGTGGCAGGGCAGGCTCTCCTCCCTGCAAGTTCTACTCCAACCTGAGTCAGAGGCAGGGTGCTGGTTGGGCAGGTATTTAGCAAGGACAGTGTTTCTTTAAGGGTCATAAAGCCTCAGCAAGACCCAGGCCAGGCCTGACAAGAGAGACAGAGCACAGGCCAGCAGTGCGTGCCTTAGGCAGGGGTGCAGCTGGCCCAGCCAGGACCTTGTTACTATTTGCTGTTAAACAAAAACATGAGGGGAGCAGGAGTTGGGGCTGGCCTGGCCACAGTTTGTGAAGCCTGGAGACAGTTGCTAAGGGAGGGTAGTGCTGCTTGGAGAACGTTGCTAAGGACAGGATGGTGTCAGGGCGGCTCAGGGAGAAGCTCCCAGTGCTGCTAGGCTGGGCTGGGCTGGGCTGGGGCGCAGGGGCCCACGGGTGGGGCATGCCAGCACTCCCTGCGCCTACGGCACAACAGTGGCTTGCTGGCTCCTTGCCACCCATTGGGTCTGCAGCCTCCCATTCTATGGAGTTTAGGAGGGGCAGGAGATCTAGGGTAGCATAGCAGCAAGCACAGATGTAGCTGGGCTAGGGTAGGAAGAGGCTGTACAATAAACAACCAGCCCCAAGAGGCAGACTGGTAGGTGAGACCATGGCCTTGGCACTGTGATCCTCCACTGAAGCACATGTCCCTCTATCTATATATCTCATCCCTCCACTGAGGTCCCTTGCCACACTGCGAGCATGACCACAAGTCCACAATCCATATGCACATGGCCCCAGCCCTCCACACTCTGGGCCTTATACCCTGGCTACACCCACAGTCCTGCACTGTGGCGCCCCCATCCACACCCACAGTCCTGGGACTACGGGCTGACCCTTCCTCAGCTTCCTTCCCAACACAGACTTTACCAGGCCTGCTCTGAGATCCTCCAATAATATCCTCAGCCCTGCAGAAAAGTGCCCCATGCCCACATGCAGTCGCCTGACCACACCCTCAGCCAGGAGCACCTCCTGGTATCGAGGGCTCCCTGACCACACACCTGCAGCCCACTGCAGACTCCCCCATCCCCACCCTGCAGCCTTTACTGAGACCCCCAGCCAGACCCATCGATGAAGACCCTGCATAACTGCAACCCTTATCATGGCCTGACCACACCCTCAGCACCTCCCTTCGTGCACACACCTGCACTCAAAACACTCAGCTCTGTACTGAAGCCCCCGAGTACCCAACCTATGCACTGGCATTTTGGGACCCAGTGGCCCCACACATACATACACACACACACTGCAGCCTCCTGACCACACCCTGTCTCAGCCACCATCTTTCTTGCTGCCTCTGACCACAGCTGCCAATGACCACAGCCTGGGCCCCTGCCTACATCCCCCTCTTCCAGTACCACAGCCTTGGCACCATGGTGACCATACTCATCCATCTCTATGTTGCAGGGACTTCCGCGAGACTACAGTCCTGGTTAGCACTGCACTTGCTTTCCCTGTCCTTAAGTGCAACATCCTGCCAAGGGCCCAACGCCCTGCACTAAGTTTACCAAGCATACTTTGTCCGCGGAGCTTGGGTACCACAGGATGCTTGTCTCAAGGGACCGAGAGACTCCTCGTTCCAACGCTCGCTCCTGTCTGTGGAGAGATGGATCTCCCGGCTGGGCTGTTCAGGTGGAACAGTCACAGGAAGCAGCCGGGGTAGGGGTGGCGGTTGCAGGCCAAGGATGGAACAACCGAGGCCACCCCTCCGCTCCTGCTGGGACAGCTGGAGTCATCAATCATCCGAGCGGGGAGGCGGGGGATGGGGAGTAGGGTGGAATGCTTGGGATGGCAGCAGGGCCGCTCAGATGGTGTCTTCAGCTCTGTACCATCCAGGGTTGGGACCCCTTTCAGGCCGCTCCCACCCACCCCTGTTTGTGCAGGATACTGATCAGGGCAGGGCGCTCGGCGTCCGGATCTCCTACCGGCTTCAATCTCGTGCTGCTCCCGCAGCGCGTTCAGATGGACAGAAAGACACAGGAACAGACGGATGGATGCAGGAGAACGGGCAGCTCCGCAGCTCCGCTCCCTGCCGGCTCCGGGGCGGGACTGCAGCCAGGGCGGCTCCGCAGTATTATCCCCTGTTTCTCGGTCTCTATAGAGACACCGAGTCCCGCCCCCAGGCTGTCTCGGCGGGAGAATGACAAGGTCACGCTGGCCACGCCCACCGGCCCCGCCCTCTGCGCCCGTCGGGCTCCCGCGACCGCCTCACAGCGCTGCTCCCCGTAGCCTCGCATTCTGCGCGGCTGGAGCGGCGCGCTGTTTCTCCACGTCTTCCGGAGGCGCTAAAGGGAAAAGGCCCCCACCTCAGGCTCTGCCCGGAGTTCAGGCGGGCCCCCAACCTCCAGGGGAGACCAAGGCCGGCTTCCCGGAACCAACCGGAGGTCATAAATGTCTCTTCCCTCGATGACAGCTGGCTCTGGACCATAGCTATCCGCTGAATGTGTGGTATCCCCAGCCACAATCCTGCGTCCTCTCGGTAGGGTTCAGATACAGGACCAATGCGGGAGGAAGGGGACAATGAACGACTCACACTTCATCAGCCCTAGAGAGCCGGTGCCCCGACGGCAACCGTGCTTTGAAGGGAAAGCTCGGGGTCTCCGGAGTTGGAGTTCTGCGTTACGCACTTCCACCTTGCCTGCAGCTTCCGCCGGCTCCGCAACAAAGTCTGTTTTCCTACTCAGTCCCCCAGATGCAAAATCCTATTATCTTTAAGAAAAGCAACCTCCTTCAGGAAGCCTCCCAGGGCCTTTCCCAGCCACGAGGCCATAAGGCGCACCGTTATGGGACAATCCTGCAGCCCCTGCTGAGCAGAGACACATCACACCCTACCCCAGGCTGGGCCCGCAATCGTCCAGCTTCCGGAGGGCCCGCGGCCCTTGCCATTAAGAAAGCAAGCACCAAATCCGCAAAAGCATTAAAAAAAGTTTATTGGAGCGTCAGGGCCGGTGGGGTAGATATTGCTAAGTCGTGGGGGACGGAGGTCGATCCCGCCGGCCGTGGGGCCCCTAAAGTGCACTCGGTGCGGCGCGGGTCGGGTGTTGCATAGAGTGCGGCCGGCCGCTCCTCTCGGCCCTCCTGCCTTGGCATAGCTAAGACAGGCCGCCCTCCTTGCCACTCGGCGTCCCCGGTTCGCCGCTGCTTGGGCTCACGAACACGGCGGGCGCACGTGCCTGCAGCGCCAGCCCGAACTCTCGGGCTTTCCCTACAGGGGTGGCCAGGGCGGCGCTGCCCAGGCGCGTCTGCGCCACTGGAATCTCGTCCATGGATTCAGCTGATGCAGAGTGGTAGGCGCCTGCCGAGCCAGCAGCACGCACCGGGCTGGCGCTGGAGCTATCCGAGGAGCTGGAGCGCCAGTCAGGAGCTTGGGAGCCTGCACAGTGGAAGGAACGAGGGTGGTGGCTCCGGCTTCCACCTTTCTCTCCCTCCAAGCTCCCTGAGAAGGACCATACAGGGAGAGGTGCTCACCCCGCAACTTAGGCAGCGGGGACTCCTGGTCCAAGATTCCAAACCTCGGCACCTTATACCTGCGTCGCTTCCTTTTTTTCTGCAGAGACAAAGGGAGAGTCACTTCCTCAAAACCCACAATGCCAAAGCATTAGAGGCATCAGCGTGGTAGAGGCTTCCTTCCCATCTCCCGCCACTTAGGCAGAGGGCCAAGCCCTGTCCCTCCTACCTGGGGTCGTAGGGCAGGAGGCAGGGCTGGAGCGTCGGGGGAGGAGGGCCGTGGAGGTTCAACTTGGTTTTGAGCCACAAGAAACCGGGAGGGGCTGTGAGAAAAGCAGGACAAATTCTTGAGTGCTGTTCCCTGAATCCCTTCCTGTTGAAAGTCCCTTCCTGGCAGAGGACAGAGAAGGACAAGACTCACGCCTTGGCCTTGGTCCACCTCCTCACTCCCACCTCTCATGGCCCTGTCATGCTAACGGGAGATGCCCAGGTGGCACTCACTTAGCATTTACTGCCGCTGGCCTGGCCTGGCCAGGGGGCTCTGGGCGTACATGGCTGAAGGTCCTCATGTAGAGCTCCATCTCCTGGGGAAGGTGGGGGTGCAGGAGACTGGAAGGCCAGGAGCAGGTCCAGAGCCTCCTGAATCCTGAGCCCAGCGAGGTCTGGGAGTTTTCTCAGAGGGAAGTCTGAAAGCCTCACAGCAGGCTGGGTCAGGGTTGTCTTCTTTCTTCCCAGTTGTGTAGAGTGAGGCCTAAAACACCCATGTCTGGACCTCACCCTATCCCCAGGTTTCATGTCATCTAGTCAGAACTCCACCTCTCCAGGTAGGCTCCTGACCCTGGATCCAAAAATGCCCAGACTAACACTGTTCAGCCAAGGGACTAAAAACTCAGAGCTTCCCTCTCTCGGCCCCTCTTGCACTGGAAAACCACACAGCTACTCACAAAAAGCAGTGTGCACCACATGAAGTGGGGTCCTGGGTGTGCTCCTCCCTCGCACAGGACTGGCCACAGCCCCAGCTACTCGGAAGAGGGCAGTCCCCACTGCCTTTACCCAGAAATGGCAGGCAGGAAGTGATGGAACAGACAGCATGGGGGTGGGCAGGCAGCCCCAGTCTCAGGCCCTCACAATGACCCTGGGGGCAGCAAACCCAGCCAGGAGAAGCAAAGGAGCCTAGAGGCTGGGAGGTAGCTAGAGAGGATAGTCCAGCACCGCGGTACTTGGGACATGCCCTGGCTACACCGGTGAGAAGTGCAGGTGAGGAAATAAAAACAAAAGCCAGGAAAAGCAGGCTGAGCAGGGCGTGGTGCAGAAGGAGAGGGGCAGGGCCAAGACCTTAAGCAGAGGGGAGCACCAGGACAGCTGTCGCAGCTCTGCTCCACAGCCGTTTCCATGGAGACCGAGGTGTCCTGACTAATGTAGAGACGACACTGCAACAGCAACACGGTCTCTAAAACAAGCCTATGTTTGGGGGCAACGGCTCCGGAGAGGCTCCCCTGCTGCATTCCTGCTGGGTGGGGGTGGGGAGAGCTTGCCTGCAGAGCCCAGGCAGATCTGGAGGACCCAGGCAGAGCCCAGTCTCTGCAAGCTGGCAGCACACATGCAAAGACAGAGGCCCCAAGCAAGCGCTGTGCCCAACCTCTGCCTAGATTGACCCTTACAGAGAGGTGTGGAAAAGCTCACCTAAGCAGAGGTGCGGAGGGCCAGGAGTCAGAGGTCAGTTAGATTGGGGCCTCAGGGAAATTCTCCCCTACAACACATACTTTCTTTCTTTCTTTCTTTCTTTCTTTCTTTCTTTTTTTTTTTTTTTTTTTTTTGGAGACAGGATCTTCTATGTTGCTTAGGCTGGCCTCCAACTCATGATCTTCCTGCCTCAGTCTCCAGAGTAGCTGGAACTACAGATGCGCACCACCACCCAGCTTCTCCCATCTTTCCCCAGTGTGGACTCAGCATACCTCCAGAACCCAACAGAGGCGGGTAAGAAAACCATCCCTGGCCACTGGGCTCCAAGACAGAAAAGGAGCCAAGATCAACCCAGCTGGAGAAGTTTAAAAGTGTCACCAGCTGGTCCCCACTCAGACCCTGCTTTCCTCACAGATGTCCCTTGGGATCTCTCGCGGCCTCAGCTCTCCCTTCTGTAAAAGCAGACAAGTACTGGATCCTACTGGCAGATGTCCCTTCAGTTCATTTGCAGATGGATAGTACATTTGCAGGTGGATAATTAAATGTCCTCGAGACTGCCACAATTGGCCCCAAAGCCTAAGCAAGGCAAGGACACCAGGCCCTGGAGTCTGGGCACTCCAGGGCCAGCCCTGCCTCAACTGGCACAGCTGGGAAGCTTGAGAAAGTCTCCGGCATAGTAGCTCTTCTGTGATGTAGGGATAGGCATGACAACTACCGCCTGGGATGGCTGCCACTGCATTTATACAGTCAGTGCCCAGCTCCAGAGCAGGTGTATGAGGGTGTGGCAGGAGGGTCCCCACCTACTTCCGGCACTCCCCAAGCCTGGCAACCAACCAGAGAGGCGGGGTCCCAAGCCTGCCTCCAACCACCCACTAGCCTGTGTTTGTGTCCAGTTGCCATGAGGATTTGGCATCCATGGTGCAGCCTTCTCAGGGAAGCTTGCCTGGGTCCCCTGCCCTCCCAGTCCCCAGGGGCTCTGAGGATTGGACTACCTCCACCCCCAGCTGCTGACCTCAGGAAGCCATGAGGCGTGGGAATGGGGACAGGCTGGCCAACAACTGGGCTGGCCAGGCCTAAGCTGGGTTGGAGGGTGTTTTGGTGTGTGGAAGCCTTAACTCTTCCCAGACCAGGTTCATTTTGACCTTTCTAGGCCTTAATGTGCTTATCTGCAATATGGGTTAGTAACAATACCTGTCTCCTGGGCTCCTCTAAGGATAAATAGAGTAACAGACATGAAAGCTCAAGGTCACAGATGGAAAAACTGGTGGCTCCATCTTGGCCACCCAGTTGCTGACCATCGTTGACTCATCTCTCTTTTATGTACTCTCACCCTGCCTGCTCCTAGGCGCTCCCACATTCCACGCTCTGTAGCACATACCTGGAACCTGACAGGTACATACATGAGGCTGCAGAAAGGCAGGGCTCCCTCTGGCTGTGCTGGTGGCATGTCCCCTACTTCCCAGCATGCCCTGCTTCACTGCTACTCCAGGCTTGCTTCCCTTGCCTTGTCCCTTTATTGGCTTTTTCTGCACAGCCCACCCCCTCCACATACATACTCAGACCCATCTCCCACCCCCTCAGTCCTCTGGGCCACTTGTATACCTGAATGGGCCGCATCTTGGTGGGACATGACTCGAGCTCCCTTTGGGCCCCTTTTGCCTCCTGTGGCGGGCGGTGCTGCACGATGTATTCATAGGTGGTGAGTTTGTGCCACACTGGTAGAGGGGAGGAAAGGACTCAGCAGGGAATCTCAGAGCTCAGAAGAGGCAGGGAGGCACCCAGCTCCCCAAAGGAAACCTCTGTCTCCGTGTGTCCTAAGCTATGGGATGAGATCAGGCATCCAAGAGCCAGCACTGACTACGTGCCCCACAGGCACTGCCCAGTGAGGTGCCTCCCTGCCACCTAGGGACCCCTATTCCCTGCAAGGCAGTGGAGTAGGAGGCACTTACTGAGATAAATGTGGAAGCACAGCAGGTGGCCGAGCAGCGCTGTGGAAAGCAGGCCCAGAAGGATGAGTAGAGCAGCCAGGGCCAGGATGGCAGGAGCCTGAGTCTCCACAGGGGCAGCCGGCAAGAACACGAACCACACATCTGTGTGATTCTTCAGGACTGAAAAGCACGGGCAGAGTGTGCTCAGCCAGGGGCTGGGGCCAATGACCACAAGAGGCCAGGTGAGGGAAGAGGACCTGGAACTCACTGACCTTCAAAGTGTTGGTTGGTGCGCAGCTGCATAGGGTTGACAAAGAACTCTACAAAGACATAAGTGGCCACCAGCACCAGGAGCAGGACACCCAGCAGAGCAGATGCCACACTGTGTAGAAAGAGCCTGGCCCAGCCATGGGCAACTGTCAGCACCCAGGAGCTCCACCGACTAAAAACCAGGAGCTCAGTAGGACCCATGGCTGGGATAAGAGGCCTGGATCTGGACCCCACAGCCCCAACACTTTTGAACCAAAGTCACAGGGCAAAATTGAAGATGGGTGGTCACCTGTCAGGCCCACACCTTTCTCTGGGCCAGCAAGATGGAAGACTAAACCCGCCCTCTGCTAGCGCCTCAGGTGGCTCACTCTCAGAGCAGCATACACAGATGCATACCAGCACCCAGGTCCTCTGCCGTGCCCCACCTCACCCCACCTTACAAGCCTGCTGCGCTTCCCACATCTCCAGGGCCCACCACGGGCCTTGCTCACCGGTAGTTCCTCTCGCCCACACAGTTGTTGAGCCACTTGCAGTGGTGGTCGAAGCCGCACACACACTTGTTGCAGGCACTGCAATGCTTGGAGCGAGCGCTCCTGCAGGTGGAAAGCACCGCGGTCGGCCAGCTCACCTCCGCCTTCAAAGCCGCGCAGCGACCTCAGCGGGGACCCCAGTACCCACCTCAGCCCCAGGGCTCAGCGTGCCAATGAAGAACGTGCGCGCCCTCTGGCGGAACTATGGGGAGTGGCCTATGGAGGAGGCGGTGCTTTGAACTGCAGGAGGACCCGGGAAAGTTGGGGTGGAGGGGGCGGTGTTTAAGAGGAATATTGTGGGGTCCTGCTCTGGAACTGCGCACTTATGTGACAATCGTATAAAACGGGAAAGAGACTTCCTTTCTAACCAAGGTCCCTGCGCGAGCTAGCTCAGAAGACAGAGGTATCAGGCCGGGAGCAGAAGTGTGCATATTCATGACAGCTCCGTTTTGGTCAGTTTCCCTGCCATTCTAGAGATTTTACTGTCATTCTTCCAGAAAATCTCAATCTGTGTGGCCTAACACAAAGGAGCCAAGAGCGGCTCAAACTGTCATCTGCGTAGTCATTAAGTGAGCTCACCGCAAGAGGGCAGTTGAGGGGAGGCCACCTTAGGATATCAGTGAGAGTCTTCCATTCCTGGGAAGCACCAGGAAAAGCCCAAAGGAGTGTAAACAAGGGGGCCACGACCCCTGCCCCAGAATAGGCTGGAGCCCTGCAATGGAGAGCAACTACCAGAGCAGAATCATGTGCTGAATGGAGCCCAGGAAATGGTAGGCTGGCCTAGTACCCCAGCCCTCAGCACACCTTAATGCTGTGGGCCTTGTAGCTCTTGTGGACAGACCCCTTCAGCAGCCTGCCTGGATCTTCAGATTCCAAGTGTGAGGCTGTCCTTGGATGACACTCCTTCCCTCATTCCCCACGGAGGATAGGAGACGGGGATGCTCCAGAAGGGTAAGGAGCCCTAGAGAGCCCTGGGACCTGACAGGCTGACAATGAATGCTCCACATTCTGACTCCTCCCTGGCCACGCAGCATGGAGCAAGTCACTCCTTGGGCGTCCGCCTTCCTGGGTAACCAAGGATACCCAGGCATCTTTTCACAGGTTGTGAGCCTGGCTCTGCCACTCAGTACCTGAGCTGTGTGACTTTGGGCCAGCTCCCAGCTTTCTGAGAGCTGGGTCCTTCCCCTTCTGTAAAGGAAGAGGCCTGCTGCCTGCCTGGCAGAGAACCCTCTGCCAGGTTGTGCGTAGTGCTTGGCAGAGTACTCTCACATTTACCCCCCATCCCTATCTGGATGCTTGTGAGAGATGTGGGGTGCCACTGGCTGTTAACCACTGGCAAAGTCTGTGGCAGTGCCAAACTTTTCTTACTTTAACTGTTGGAAACCATTTCCAGTCACCTTCTTGTTGCCCTCCTAGAGATCAATTCTCATAACTCCCTCAAGATCCTGACTGTAAAACATGAGGGTTCTAAGGCATAAAGATGACGGTGAAGCCCTGGCATGCCCCTCTCCACCCTGAAGTCTGCTGGCGGACCCCAGGCACACTCATGACCCACATGTGCCCATGCACTCACACTCGCACATGCACTCACACGTCCACGTCGCACAGGTTGCAGTGCAGATCTTCAATGACATGCGCATGCTGGTTGCGGTTGAATATGGGCAGAGGCCCTGCATAACTCTTGTCCCGCACATTGGCATCTGCTGGATCAATCGAGACTGCAGTCAGGTGCACCACAAGGTGGCCAACAAAGATGGAGCCCATGCACTGGCCCAGCAAGTTAAAGACTCACTCCACATTACTGGCTGGGACTCCTCCTACTTGCTGTGGCCAAAAAACATCTCACCTCCATGATTCCTTTTATAAAGACACTGCCTGTGCCACTTTCTGCCGCCAGCCCCCAAGAGCCTCCTCATTAGCTTTCAATGGACCCCATCTTCCCAAATGGAAGATGACAGGGGCCATCTGTGATGGAGTTCACAAGCTGCCACCAACCAGTCAAACCACAGGACCCTGGCTTCAACATTTTTTAGGCTTGGTACAGGTTTCAGTTTCAAATGGTGAAGTGGGATTGAAAGACATCATCCATCATCAAGGACCTGAAGTTTTAAGTTACGAGCTTGTTCACCATGCTTTCACAGGAAGTCAGTTCTAGAGCAGGCAGCCCTCTCCCTTAGCAGTTCCATCCAAATGTGAAATCACTTGTGGAAAAGCATGTCCACATTTCACCTCACCAAGCTGGAGTTGGGCACTTGGAGTGCTGAGGTGAGTGCCTGGGATGATCTGACCAAGGGTAACATGACTCACTCCAGGAGCAGAAGCACAGCTCTTCGGGACCTAGCTGCTCAGTGACTAAGTCAGTGTAGATGAGTATGCTGACAACTCGCTGCGAAGCCTGACTGTATGAAAATTCACCCAGGCAGGCACCTATGCCCCTCCTTTCCTCCATCCACCCAGACCATCCATCCATCCTTTTGCTAGTCAAGCAGACAGCATCTCCCCATTATTCAGGTTCTATCTGTCACTTTTCCTCCATCCTTGACCCATCACCTCCTTTCCTTCCCGTCCCAGTAGCCAAATCCCTCCACAAGTCTGTATGAGCCAGGCCCGCCCTAGTGTGCTGTCCCTAGCCAAAAGGAGATAAACCAGGGCCAGCACTGACTTCTCTATCCCTGAGGCCACTGCCACAGTTCAGATCTTCACTTTTTGCCTGGGTCACTCACAGTAAGAACCCCCTGATTGCCTGTCCCATCTGAGTTCCCTTGAGTCTGCCCACACAGTTACAGAATGAGCTTTTAAAAGCTTAAGGCCCTTCCTGCTTCAATCCCTACAGTGGCTCTTGAGGGCTCTCCAGGTCTCCACGTGGAGTTCAAGCCTCAGCTCTAGGCCAAGGCCTCTTTGGCATTCACGGAGTCCCTTTCAAGCCCCTGCGGCACTTCTAGTTACTCCACCTCACCATTCTAGTCTCTCTTAAACACTCAAAGTTGGCAAACATTTACCTTCCTGCCCACTCCAGCACTTCTTCCCCCACCCTCTGGGTTCATTCATTCAACATTTACTGAAGTCTTTGTGCTAGGTACTGGGGGTTTGGCAGGGGCTATACAGATATGGGGTATCCCAGCCCTGAAGAGCCACAACGGGTAGAATACAGAAATACTGATCCAATAACAGGTTAATTACAACAAAGAAAGCACATGGGAGTGTGTGATTTTGTAACTGAGTGACCTCATCTGGTTTGAAGAGGTCTCGAAGGCTCCCCTGAGGAAGCATCATCACATCTGAGACTCGGAGAGGAACAGACAACAGGGCCCTGACAAGAAATGTAAAGAGAAGAGGAGACTGGCTGGGTACTGTGATGGCAGGGACCTGGGAACTGTGAGATATCAACCAGAGGGAAGGCTGAATATGTGTTCCCAGTGCACGGCCACCATACAAGAAATAGGGTACATGTTGCCACCTTCTGGTTTTCAAAAGGAAATAGAAATCTAGGTTTTTACATGAAATCTCTCAATGTTTAAATGTTAGTGAAACAACTTTCAAAATACATCCATAGAAGATCTGTGCATTCTGGATGTTGATTATCCTCAAATTTTTTCCAGGACTAAGGATTGAAGCCAGCCCCTTCATGCTGAGCTACATCTCCACAGCTTCTCTTTCTCTCCTTCTGGCTTTGTTTGCTTTGCTTTGCTTTGTTTGCTTTCTTTTTTCAATAAGGTCCAAATTGTTAGGTTGCCTGAGCTCGGCTTGAATTTGTGATTCCTTGCCTCTGTCTCCTAGAGTGCCAGTATTACAGGTATGTGCCATCATGGCTGCCTCCCTCAATTTTCACAGTATCTACAGACCAAATTACACCACGGCCTTCCAGTCTTTGACCTCTGACTCAACTGGGTGTTGAGGATAGGGAGAGATAAGGAGTTTCCAGGCAGGGAGCAGTGTTGCCAAAACAGATGAGAACAAAGGAAATACTGTAATAGGAAGCTGGGGAGACAGAGAGAGTTTAGAACTTAGAAAACCTTGACCATATAAAGATCTTTAGCCTCATTCTTTAGGGCAAGAAGAGCCCACTGGATAGCCTTGAGCCAGTGGAACATATAAGATTTTTATTGTTGGCGCCGTTGGTTGGTTTTTTTGATATAAGGTGTTGCAATGTACCTCCGGCTGGCCTTGAACCCCCTAACCTTCTGCCACCCAGTCCTCCCCAGTGCTGGGATTATAGACGTAACCACCACACCCAGCTTCAGATTTGTTTTTTGAAGGATCACTCTGCCTGCAGGGATTCAGGTGGTTAGAGTAAGGATTCGTGGGGAGACTTCCTTAGAAATTAAACAGTCATCTAGGCCAGAGTGGCAGGTGGTTGGTGGAGGGTCAGAAGGAGAAAAGTAAATACTTATTAAGGTGTTAAAATCAATAGGGTTTTAGGATTGGCTGGATATCAGCAATAAAGGGAAGGGGCCAAGAAAACATGGGGAGAGGCTGGACACAGGGGAGAGGGGGAAAGTGAGCAGCAGGCATCCTTACAGACACGTAATGAGACTGGCAAAAATGCTCTTCTGCTCCCACCTCATACTTATCATGTGGTGGAGCACCATGTCCAACCTACCAGCCTTCCCTCCTGCTCTGGCCACCCAGGGCTCATCTTTGCACCCCAGGTCCAGACCCGTTCCAGGCCATGTGAGATTTTGTACACATTCCTGCTCTGCCTCATGCCTCGGGGTCCTGACAGAGCCTGCAGAAAGGAGACATTGATGGACGAAGAACCAATACCCCTGGTCAGTTGGGCAGCTCCAAGTTCTTCTGCATGGGCCAGAGTAGATGGACAGTGAAACATGGTGAGGACCAAACTTGCAAACCATCCCACTTCCTCAGTCAGGTCACTGAGCAGCCCTGTGGCCTCACTGCATAGCTCAGGAAGTTACTACTTTCTCTGAGCCCTTGTTCCTCCATTAGTAATACAGAGAAACACATCCCTTATAGTATTACTGTAAGGGTCAAGAAGTAATCCTTGTAAAGTGGCTGACACAGTGCTTGGCACATATAAGTACTCAGTAAGTGCCAGTTTCTTTTTAACACTGTTACTTGCTCTGACTGTTAACCACACAATTATTAATGTGATTTTCCAGGTACCCTGATGGCAGAAATCCAAGCAATCCCAAGTGAGGAATACATATATACTCTAGACCACAGGAAGACTGTTCCAAGAACCATTCTAGTTAATTATCTAAGGCCTATTGGTCTCTTCAGAGAAAGTCTAGTTTTCCATTCACAGAGCCGAGGACCAGCCCTGGGTTCTAGTGAACCAGGAAATCCTCAAGGACATGGCTGGTGAATGAGAATAAGAATCTTCTCTTAATCTTCTCCATTTACCTGCCCTTGTAACTCAGCAGCCCAGGCCCTGTAGTCTCCCAAGAAAGCATGCTCACATTAATAGCTTATGCCTCTGGCACCCTGGCTTTGTCCACTCCTGCAAGCAAGCAGAACCTCTACCATTAAACAGAAGCAGAGACTAAAGAGTGGTAGAAGCTGGGGGCTGGGGATTTAGCTCAGCGGCATAAGCACCTGCCTTGCAAATGTGTGGTTGTGAGTTCGATCCCTGGTACCAATAAAAAAGAAAAAAAGACCAAAAAAAAAAAAAGTGGGAGAAGCTGCTCAACCATACACAGCCCTAAGGGGCTGACCTGGGACCATACTGAGCTGCTGACTTGATGCCCTGCCTCAGGCCAGCCTCTGTCCTCCTTCGCCCAGCAGTCCTCTTCACAGGGCACACAGTAAGACGCTCTCATAGAACCTCTCAACATGGGTACAGAGAGGCTTGCTGTACCCGGGCCCCAGCCTTGCAGCCATGTCCTCTGTCCCCTGGGGGCTGTGGCCAGGGTTGGGGTAGTCAAACCACTAAGCTCAGTAGAGTCCACATTTATCACTGTTCCCAGGGGCTCCCAAGGCAACTCTGCCATCTCTTGTCACAATCACACTTTCCCTAACGGGTCTGATTTGCAAGATTGGTCAGCTTTGAACAATTCCGGGCATACCATAATAATCTGTCTATAAATAAAACCACATCTTAAATATACCAGGAAACATACTACATAAAAGGATTATACCAAGACAAATTCTTTCACAAATAGAAAAATCCTCCCTAGTTAGTCATTTGTTTAGCTCTGGACATGATCAGCATGAAGCTTTAAAGTTTTAATGCTCTCTGCTGGCTCTTGTAACATGTTGGCTGATAAGATCCAAGGCACTGCAGAGCTGTCCCTCACCCTATCAGAGGAGGGGTCAAGAGGGGAGTGGGGGCCAGGATGGGAAGACTGAGACATCCCTGCTCTGCCCCACCCTGAGTCCCTGAGACCAGCTTCAGGGCTCCACCTTCCATCTATCCACTGCCCCATCTTCCATGCATGGGCCCACTTTCCCAAGGATACAGCATAGCCAGCAGGCACCCAGTGATGAGGCAGGAGGGGAACAAGAACCCCAAAGCCAATCACCGCGAAGAAGAGGTACAGCAGCCAGGCTACAATCTGAAGTGGGTGAGGGGGCCAGCTCCACCCATTCCGGCGGGAGCGCTGGCCCTGCAGCTCCGGGGAAGGTCCACTGGCCTGCACAGGCGCTGTCCATACACTCTTCTCAGGGGCCGTCTTGTTGGAGGGCTTGTTGCAGATGTTCATCTCCAGAGGGAGAAAGAATAGAAAGCATTAGCCTGATGGGGGCAGCCCAGGAACCTAACCCTGAAATCAGGTTTTAGCAGTAAGAGCAGGCAGGTATAGGAAGCTACCTCCCAGCCACACTGCAAGGAGTCTGGGGTCCTGGCCCAATGGAGACAGGCAGTAGGGGCAAGACTGTTCCAGAGCCCCAGAGCAAGCTCTGGCTCCAGCCTGGCCAGGACAAGGTAGGAGAGTCCAGGGTTTATTCAGGACACAGCGTGGCTGCCTGTTACTCAAAGTGTTGTCTCCAGAGTCATCAAAGTGAAACTCAATAAGACATGTTCTCATCTGGTAACAATATCATGCTGGAGCCAGAACAATGAGAACACACGCTGATTCTGTTAGGATTAGTCACCTCTATCCTGAGGGCCAAATACAAGTGTTAGACAGGGCCCCCTTATTCTCTGCTAAGGGAAATCGGGAGTGGGGGTGCTGAGAAAGGGGATCTGGACTTTGTCCATCAGCAGACACATAATTCCTTTAGGGCTAGGGACCTCAGATCTCTCCCCAGTGTCTCAGAAGGGCTGTCTGAGGCTTCTTGGCTGGGAAGGAGCCACCACACAAGCAGCAGGGAGGGCCACTCTTTGGTTCCTTCCAGAAGTACAAATAACCATGTTTCTCTAAGTAAATCTGGACTGGCTGTACAGATTTACACAGAAAGGTGGGCTAACATTCTTTGAATCACTTGAGCGAGCTCAGGGAAAGGCCAGGACATGGCCAGAGCCAGATCACAGATGGCAGCCACCCCCTATACCTACCTTGCCTCCTTCAGCCCAATAGCTGGCCCAGAGGCCAAGGATTCACACAGGCCAGGAAGGGATGGGCCTGTCCTCACAGGAGAAAAGGCCCCATCCTCAGTATCTTCTGGGCCCAAAAGGGGAGTAGAGCCCTCCCTACAGTGCCACACTGGAGAGAGGCCAGCTCTGAGCTCCTGGTGGGAAGGCCTGGACCTGGGGATAAAACTCTGGCAGCTGGACTGTCCTTTCAGGAGCCCCTACCAAGAATCAAAAAAGATATGCAGACCCCACATCAGCACATCTGCTTGGATCAATTTCTTACTCCTCAGCCCAACAAAATGCTACTTGCTCTTCAAGCCCACTGTAAATGCCTTGTTACCTAGGAAGTTTCCCTGATAGCCCACAGACAAGGGCCCTTGACCTCAGTTCTGGCCAGGACTGTCACTTTGCCATCCCTATGTGTGTCTGCTTCATCAGCTCCATTCAAAGACAGCAAATGTCCCATGATTCATTCACCCCATGCACCCAGAACTATACCTTGTACTTAAAAGATGCTCAGAAAGGGTTTCCTGGCTTGAAAGCATCTGAAATAAAAGGAAATGTGGGTATGATAAGTGATATGAAATCTTGGCCTGCCTAAGCCATCGGTACCATGCTGCTCTGCTTTCAGCCCTCCCCCTGCAGCTCCTGCTGCACACGGTCATCCCTCACAGCCGCTCTGCCCTTCAGCCCACCTGAGACTCAGACCCTCCTGCAGAACAAGCCCAGCAAAGCCACCTCTGGGTAGTCAGTCTCCTTCGTATTCTCTAAGTAGTAAATGGAGTCACCTTAGTATTCTCCCAGAGTCTCAAGTGGAGTCCTCTGGTCACTTACCCTGTCTTTAATAAGAAGGCACACAGGCTGGGCACGGTGGCACATGCCTGTAATCCCTATACTTGGGAGGCCAAGGCAGGAGGATCACCATGAGTTAGAGGCCAGACTGGGCTACATCAGCGAATTCAAGGCTATTCTGCACTACACAGCAAAACCCTATCTCAAAAAATAAAAAGCCACACAAGAGCTGTGTGTGGTGGTACACATCTATAATCCCAGCACAGCATTCTGAGAGACCAAGCCAGGAAGATTGTAAATTCAAACTCAACCTGGGAAATTTAGTGACTTAGTGAGACACTGTCACAAAATAAAAAAGGTAAGCCAGGCATGGTAGTGCACTCTGTAATCCCAGCACTTGAGAGGTTGAGGCAGGAGGATTACCACAAATTGAAAATCAGCCTGGATTAACAAGTGAACTCAAGGCCAGCCTGAACTGCATAGGGAGATCCAGTCTCAAAAAGACTAAACAAACAAACAAACAAACAAATGGTTAGAGATATAGCTCAGCACAGAGGCCCTGGGATGGATGGATGAATGGATGGATGGATGGATGAATGGATGGATGGATGGATGAATGGATGGATGGATGCTAAGGGGAAAGAAAAAAAGAGCCTCAGCTTTGAAGGAAATGGATTTAGGTTAGGCTCTTGGCTCTGCCCTTACTAGTTAAGAGGCCTGAGTTTTCTCATTTGAGAAATGGGGGTGGCATACACACCAATGACACTGAAGTAATCCCTGAGTTGCTTGCTAAAAAGCAGACTTATAATTACCCTCAAACAGCCCTCTGCTGCCTTTGCATCTCCAGACCACAGCTACTGAGTTCACACAGGGCACGGGAGGCCAGATAGGGTGGCTGGGCACTGCTGAAGGAGCCATAAGGCATCAAGGAAGTTTAAAGCAGGAGATGACACAGTGAGTATTTTCGAGAGCTTTCTGGTCACACGAGGAAGGGCTTGAGCAAGAGGGGAAAGGCATGGCAGTGGGGAAGGGGGACACCACAGCAGGCTGGCCCAGGAAGGTCTATGTTCTAGGAGGAGTTAGCCACCTGAAGGACAACCCCACAAACTTCCTGCTGCCCACTCAGTTTCGCCAGCTGCTTCTTTGGTGGGCTGAGAGGTGATGGATCTTGGGAGAATATTCTTCCTGTACTTTCTGCTTCCAAAGAATAAATCGTAATAGCTGGGTACAGCGGCACACATCTGTAGTCCTAGCTACTTAGGAGGCTGAGGCGGAAAGATCACTTTAAGCCCACCAGTTGAAGGCCAGTTGAGATAACATATCAAGAATACATTTCAAAAAACAAAGGTGGGTGGCGGGAGAACCACAGAAAGTTAGTCTGGTAGGGATAGCCGGGACACAGGAATAAGAGGAACCCATGGAGTCCTATGACCCTGGTAAGTCAAAGACCTGCCTGGCTTCAGAGGAAGGTGTGAGAGGTTATGCAGATCCTTCCCTTGTCCCTAACAAGGTAGAGGCCATTGACGGGATAATAATGTATTTTCTTTAACATTTGTTTGCTACAATTCTAAAGTAATATTTTAAAATAAAGGTAGGTAAGCTCGCCATGGTGGTACACATGTATAATCCCAGAACTCTGGTAGGAAGATGCAAGAGAATCACACAAGTTCAAGCTCAGTCTAGGTAACTTAGTGATTTAGCAAGACTCTGTCCCAAAATAAGGGGGTAGGGATGTAGTTCAGTTTGGATTCAGTCTCCAGTACTGGAAAATAAATAAATAAGGTTAAGCTACTTTAATTTATATGCTTAAATTAAATGAAGGAAATCTTCAGATTTCTAGTTTTCACTATGAATAGTAGAACAGTTACATGAGTGATCCGCTTCCTTCCTGCCACCTCTGCTCCAACCAAAAAAAAAAAAAAAAAATTAGCAGCAGCCAGGTACAGGGGTATGTACTTATAGTGTCCACTACTCTGGAGGCCGAGGCAGGAAGACCACTTGAACCCAGAAGCTGGAGGCCAGGCTGGGCAACATAACAAGATACCATTTCAACAAATAAATAAATAAACACAGTAGGAATGCTGTTCTAAAACATGTGTGTGCACTATCACAGGAAACAAGCTAAGGTGTAAAGTCCCAGCTTGTAGGGCCTATAGATGCTCTGGATTCTTGTCTAAGGACTTCATAATCAATTCAGTTACTACAAGGGGTTGTCAAAGGAGGATGCTGGGATCAGAAGAGGTGACAGGACTGAAATAGGCACTTGGAGGGTACAGAGACCTAAGCTGCCAATGGAGAAGGACAGTTTGGAGCCAGGAAAGAGGGTTAAGCCTGGATACCCCGTCTCTTTGTAATTTTTGCACTGATACTCTATTTCTCAGATAGAGAAACCCAGGGACAAACTTCATAGATCTACCTCTCTGGGTCTCTGCTTTACTCATCTGCCCAAAAAAGTTAGCTGGTCAAAGCAAATTACAAGTAGAAAAATAAAATAAAATAAATAAAAGTTAGCTGGAAGGCAATCTGGCAACGTTGTCAAACTTGAGAACACATATACCCTTTGGTTCTAACATTCCATTTCTAGGTATTTATCATATACGTATAGATATACATATAGATTTGCAAAACACACAAAGATTCATTGCAATGTTGTTTGGAATAATAAGGGGAAAAAACAAATATAAACACATTATGGCACATGTTCCTCTGCAACATCGACAGCAAGTGAAGAAATTTTTTTTCTTTTTACTACTAAGACTTGAAGCCAGGGCCTCACACATGCTAGGCTACCACTGTGTCACTGAGTTACCCTTCCCAGACCTTTTAACATGTTTATGCTATTTTACTTTTTTAAAATTGTACGTACTAGAGATTGAATGCAGGGCCTTCACGCTGAGCTGCCTTACCTTATATTTTTTTTCAATTTTGAGAAAAGATCTCACTCAGTCATTAAGTTGCCCAATCTAGGCTCTTACTTGCAATCCCCCTACCTCAGCCTGCCAGAGCGCTAGACAGCAGCCATACACCACCACACCTGCCTCCTTTTTAAAATTTTTTTTTATTTTGAGACAAGGTCCCAGTAAGTCGCCCAGGCCTGCCTTGAACTTGCAGTCCTTCTTGACTCAGCAGCCCTAGTGGAGGTCAGACAGCCATGTGTCACCACACAAAATGATCTTTGGTACACTGTTAAGTGAACAAGCAAGATGTACAGCTGAAAAGAGAGCTACTGAATGAATAAAAACCTCAGGGATGGACAGACAAATATATTCGTATATGCACAGATTCTCTTGGGAAGAAAACTCAAGAAACTAAACACAGGGAGCCTCTGGAAAGATCTAGTAGTACACAGGCTGGGCGGTGACATAGGGGTTTGTTTTTACTGAGTATTCCTTGGTACTGTGTGAATTTTTAATCATGAGTATTTACTGCTTTCAAAAAAAAAGTGAGCTGGGGATGTAGGCCAATGGTATATATAGTGCAGGCTTAGCAAATCTGAAGCCCTGGGTTTATTCCCAGCACTACAGACAAATGTATACCAATAATAAATAATTTGAGGGGTGTCACCTCTTGCCCTCCTAACCTTATTGTGCCATGTGGACCAAATGCAGTGGTGTGATTCACAGCCCTGACCAGGCCAGACAAACCAGGAATTCCTGCCTAACAACCACGTAACAAGAATGCTTAGTTTTAGTTAAGTGCTTTCTTACTCTTGAAAGCAATTCTGAGCTGCTCATCTGTAGAGGTGAGGAAGAGCCATGAAACCTCCTAGCACTGTCAGGGGTCTTGTCGAAGATGGAATAGACCTCCAGACAGCACTATAGAAGGCTAGGCAGAACCCTATTCTAGTTCTTGGCCAAGTCAGCTCAGCGCCCCAATCACCCCCAGAACACAGAGGGAGGTGTACCTTGCAGAAAAGTTTTGCTCCCAAGCATCTTTCTTTCTCCTAGGGAATTTATGGTTTCCGTGTGAGAGATTTCCGTCAGGTAATTCTAAAGGAGTTTTCAGTTTTTTCTCAGGATCTGCTTTGGAAATAAGTTTTACTGAGATCTAACAGATGCCTAGTTTTAACCACATAAAGGGGAGCTGGAGAGAAAATGCTTCGCAGAGCACTTTTTTTTTTTTTTTTGCACATTGTTTTACAGTGCAAAAATAGTTGCTTATAAAATACTTTTAGAGGTATGTACTTTATTAAAATTCCCCATAGGTGCCAGAAAAATCTCTGGCCTTAAAATGCTGAGAAGTAGCTATAGGGATGTACATCACATAATTCCCACAAAATAAACTGGAACTTCAATCTGTCCTCAAAGACCTCTCATCAGAGGTCTCAGATGTGGCTGGGCTCTTGCTTTCTTCTCATAAACAATATGCCAAAGTCGGTTGCTATGGCAAGAAAAGCTTGAAACTTCAATTGTTCCTGAGTTGACATGGAGTACAAGCATTTCTGTGCCATTCTGCTGCAGCAACCACTACAAACTGTTTGGGATCCAAGTTAAGTCAAGGAAAAAGGACAAAAAGAAGGGGGAACAAGGAACAGAAACAAGGCAAATGAAGGGAGGCAAAGGTTGTTGATTTTAAAGGGAAATCAACTCATATGATTGCAGGAGCCAGCCCTAAGGAACACCCACTAAGAAACAGTCATTAAGAACAAAGTGTGACAGAACAAAGTAAGAAAAACAAAAACAAAAAGGAAAAACCTAGCTAATTAAGCACCACTGTTGTTTTTAATGCATCTTGTGGTGATTATCTGTTACAGACCAGTCTCCTCCAGCCAACCACCAGTTCCACAAAAGCAGGGACCACCCCTTACCCCTGTCTGAATCCAGCTTTCCTTGAGCAAAGGAAGTGAAGCTTTTTTTTTTTTTTTTTTAACCATCAACTGCTGCCATCACCCTAATCCAAGCCTCTATCATTGCTCTCCTACAGTGTTCCCATGATAATAATAGCCATCATTAGCATTTTAGAGGGCACTTATTCTGGGTCAGGCACTACTTTAAGTGCTTCCATGGAATTCACTTAATTCTACCCTCAAAACACTCCGAGGTAGGTCCTATCATTTCAAACTGTTTTCAAGGTCTCTCTAATCGCTGGTCTCAGATGTGGATAGGCCCTCACTTGCTCTCTCATAAACTAGATGAGGAACAACATCCCCCTTGCCCAGGTCAGGGTACAGGGGCTCAGAGGCACTAAGCAATTCTAGGAGGCACAGCTAGACTGGCAAAACCAAGACGGCCATCCAGTGACTTCCCCACAACAACCAGAACAAGATGAGCTTTCAAAACCTGAAACTCTGCAAAACTCTTCAATGGTTTCCTCGACAGAGAATAAAATTGCAACGGCCCACCAAGGACTTAAGTGCTCTCCTCCTCTCTCTTCCGTCCCAGTACTCTGCTGTCTCCAGACCTTTGTATTTATTTGCTTTTCTCTCCCAGAAACACCTTTCCCCTGATCACACTGTTGGCTTCTTTCCAATCTCCAGGTCTTAAATGTGAAAATCACCTTGTTAAATCAGACCCTCAGGGGCTGGGGATTTAGCTCAGCGGCATAAGCGCCTGCCTTGCAAGCAGGCAGTCGTGAGTTTGATCCCGGGTACCGATAAAAAAGACCAAAAAAAAAAAAAAAAAAAAATCAGACCCTCCCTGGCCACCCCTCCATCTCATCACTAGAGCACTTGACTCAACCTGAAATCACTTTAGTCATGTGTCTGGCGCCTGCTCCCCACACCCTCCTCAACGCTCTCTGGGCTCTGGAAGTCGGCCGCATCTGTTCTCAGCCCTTCGCTGGCCAGGCGCCTGGCACACAGTGTGCTCTCAGGGCAGATCTGTGAGGCTGACAAAAGCTAAAGGAAGCCCCGCGTTCTAGTGGGTCCTTGGAGCCCAGGCTGCAGGGGCCGAGGGGATCCTCAAGCCAGGTCAGGCAGCAGCATCCGCGAGACCCCATGGCTCAGGCCAGGCTCCTGAACGCGGCAGCGGCTCCTCACCTGCGCGTGGTGGCGGCCGTGCCAGATTGGCCCTACCAAGGTCAGCTAGTAGTTCGGCCCCGCGCCTGGCTGTCCACCCTCCCCGGGGCAGATGCGCTTCAGACTGTCACGGCAGAAAAGATCCCCGGGACCGGGAGACGGTGCGTCCCGAAGCGGGACCCCATCCCGGATGGAGGTTGGGCAGGGTAGTCCTCCCGCTCCAGGTCGGGTGGGATGGCTGAGCGGCAGGGCCAGGCCGAGGCGGGCTGTGCCTCGCCAGGCACTGGGCCCGTTCCCCTGGCAACAGCGCGGGCTACGGCGCCCCACAGCGGCCAAACCGCGCCGCGTCACTTAGCTCCTCTACTATGGCTCAGGGCGGGGCTTGCCAGAAACAGCCCACCACCACCACACTCCCCGCACGCGTCCAAGCTTGCTAATGCCAGATTGTTTTCTAACCCTTCTTCGAAAAACGCCTACTTTCTTCCACCTCCGAGTCACAGCTTGTCTTCCTGAAATCTTGACTTGTCCCAAACGTGCCCTCCTTCCAGTCTCTCCTCTGAGATCACCACTCAGGAAGACCCCATTCAATCTGCACTCTTTAATAATCAGATGAGAGGCCCTAGACATAACGGAGGAACAGCTATTAGATTTCTGCCTTTCAACGCTATTACAGGTTAAGGAAGAAATAGATCTAGACAAATAAATTACAGAACCAGAAGTTCAGGTACCCTAGAATATAAAGTGTGATGTGTAAGAGCTTAATGTAAGTAGCACAAAATTTCTCATTTTTTTATTGCTCTTAAATCAAGGATAAATCCTCCATCTTCCAGCCTCATGGGAAATTCAATTTTAGCGTCCACCAAGGTCCTCTTTCCTAAGTCAGGCTGTCCATGCAGAAAAAGAAAAAACAAAAACAAAAAAGCCCTCCATTTATGAGTTCTCTCTGGTACTGAAGCCACAATCATTACTCCAAGACATAGGATTTTCACTCTGTGGGCCCACTCTGTGGGCTCATCGTGGGGCTCCCAGTGGACAGACATCAGGCCCTACAAGACTTCCGGAGGAGCTGAATTTTGCCTCATCACCTCCACCACTCCCTTCTCCCTGGAGGCATTCAGAATAGATCTTCCCATAAGCTTGTTTTTTGTTTTTTTTTTTTTGGGGGGGGGTCTTTTGGTTTTTTTCCCCCAAAAAGACGGGAAGAAAGGTAAGTTAGTGGTGCATACCTGTAATCCCAGCACTTAGGAAACTAAAGCAGAAGGATATCAAATTCAAAGCCAGCCTGGGCCATGTAACAGTTGTCAAAACTAGAGCATTGTGGTGCATGTCCATAATGCCAGCACTTGGGAAGCTCCTCACAAGTTTGAGGCCAGCCTGAGCTACATAGTGAGTACAAGGCCAGCTCAAACTAATATAGCAAGACCCTGTCTTTAAAAAAAAAAAAATTGTCTCCAAAAAAAGGAAAAGCCCTGTTGTCTTACGTCACTATTCTCTCCATATCTCCAATTCCGTTGGCTATTCATAAGAACAGACAGATAGGAATGGAGAACACTCCTATCTCTAAAACATGTAAATTTTAAGCATGCAAAAAGAAAAGAAAAAAAGTAAGAAAATAAGAAATATAATTCTTTCTGCTCTGTCATGTGCCAGTTTCAGGCCCTTATGTAAGGGACCCAACCTCCCTATAATTTAAATTCTTGTTTTCTAAAAAGATAAATCTCAAACTTAATGTGAGATAAATAGCAGTGTTAGTGTGACTTTAGAAACACAAGATAATTCCTCAATTTTTATCTGATAGTAAAAAACTTAGGGTCAGAGATGGTGACCCAGAAAAAAAGGTAGGGATGAGCACATGCATGCCATAGGAAGGAGAGGGATCCTGGAGTCACAACTTTCTGGACCCATCATTCACCCTTCCTTTGGAACCTGTCCTGCATATCCCAAAGATGTCTTAGATATATATCCCTACGTGTTCTCTTCATTCTTGCCACAAATTTGCCCTTCCTCTTGGGTCCTTGGAGGGGCTCTTCCATGTACACCGTCAGCCCATCTGTACTTGCAGGTATCTTCCCATATCCCTCCTCTAATTCTTACCCACCTAACCCAAATAGTCCCCAGGTCCAGGCTTCCCTCCCTCTAAAACATGTCTTGCATCCATTATTCCCTCTACTCAAGCCCTACCACCACCATCATCTTTGCTGATCCCAGGGCATCTTCTTTTCTAGTGTCCCTAACATCATCACCTTGCCTAATTCCAGGCCATTCTCCTACCTTTTTTCCAGGCTTATCTTTCTTTCTCTTAATTAGTTCAAGTGGGTGGTAGTCTGAGTAATAGCTGCCCAAAAGATGACCATGTCCTAATTCCTCGAACCTGTGAATGTTACTGTACAGGTTGAAGGAGATTTTGCAGATGATACAGAAAGGATAGGTGTATATTTATATGCTTATATATGCCTAGAACTTCATCTAAAGAGTTACAAGAATTGATTTTAGTATGTGTAATACTATGAACAACTACACTGAAGAAAATGAGATATCGGGGCTGGGGATTTAGCTCAGCGGCATAAGTGCCTGCCTTGAAAGCAGGCAGTCGTGAGTTCGATCCCTGGTACCGAAAAAAAAAAAAAAAAAAAAGGAAACAGGAAAAAGACAAAAAAAAAAAAAAGAAAAAAGAAAATGAGATATCACGGTAGCCATTGATGATTTTCTATCATTTTGATTCAAAAGCCAATAATGCTTTTATTCTTGGTTTTCAGTCTGTTTTCAATTATTTGATTCCAATATATATGAAGATATAGACAGCTGTTTTGAAGAAAACAAAAGATATTATAGTAGCCATTACTGATTTCTTAGTGTCTGGTCTTGAAAGCTCTTAAGGCTCTCATTCTTGTGTTTTGATTGCTTCTATACTATTTTGATGTGTGTTAACTTATTGTGTATAAAGGTATGGACAACTATTTTGAAGAAAACTAGAGACATTATGGTAGCCACTATTGATCTCTTGCTGTCTTTTTCTGAAATCGTGTTTGTTTTACTCTCTGCTTCATTCTGTTTTGCTTTGTTTTGTTTTATTCTCTTTAAAATAAAAAAAATAAAATCTTCACAGGAGATTTTGCAGATAAGATGGCACTAAGGACCCAATTGAGGAGATTATCCCAGATTATCTAAGTGGCTCACAAATCACAAGGGTTCTCATTCTTCTAAGGAGGTCAAAGGATCAGAGCAGAAAGACATGTGATGCTGGTAACAGAGATCAGAGAAAGTTAAAGACATTGCTCTGCTAGGTTCAAAGATAGAGGAAGGAGCCATGAACCAAAGAATGCTGGCAGCCTGTAGATAATGATTAAAGCAGGGAAGCAGGCTCTCCCAGAGCTTTCAGAAGGACCCAGCCTGCATTCACCTTGACATTAGCCCAGTGAGATCCATTTCAAACTTGTGGCCTGTAGAACTATAAGGTAATACGTTGGTGGTTTTTACTTGGTCAGCTTCCATCCACCTCCTGGTCTGGGTAGCCTGTCTCTGTCCTCTGCAATGACTGCAACTCCTGCAACCAGCAGTACTGCTTCACCTCAGGCCTTTTCCCACAGGTTTCTCTTTACGGGGAGAATTATCCCAGCTCCCTCATGCCACCCTTGACCAATTCCTATGAACATGTGACACACATTTTTCTGGGACAGAATTCAGTCTTTTAGACTTGTCTCTACCCAGAGCTATGACCTCTCAACCACAAGGCAGGTCTGCCTAGGGTAGAAGAGCCCCAGTCACTGGAAGAAAAAAGCCAAGTGTGTTTTTATGGTTTAAGTGCTCTCATGTGAGATTGCAAGACGGTTTGAATTCCTGGGAAGATGATTCCTGGGAATGAGAGGAGGCTCTAGGGTGGGGAGAGCTGGCTAATCCTACCCTAGGACTGAACCTGCAGTAGATCCTCGGTCAGAGCCAGTGTGCTCCCAGATTTCCTGAGCCTTGTCACCTGACCCGAGACAGGTTAGCAGTTAACTGTTTCAACTCCAACTCTGCTAGTCATGAGGCACTGACCTTGAGCACATCTCTTAACTTCTGTCCAAATTTCAGTATGCTAATATGTGAAATGGGGTTCCCAATAGCTGCTGCACAATGCTGTGAGGAGGCCTGAAAATTCACACACACTCACGCGCGCACACACACACACACACACACCCTTCTTTTAAAGTATATGGAGAGTGTTCTATGGATAGCAGTTATTGGTGTCTAGAGCCTGGACCTTCCTTATCTTCCTTCAGGAAATAATGCTATCATTTCGTCAGTGAATGCAATTAAATTTAATTATCAAATTATACTGGATGGAGGGCTGGGGATTTAGCTCAATGGCATAAGCGCCTGCCTTACAAGCAGGCAGTTGTGAGTTTGATCCCTGGTACCCATAAAAAGGAAAAAGACGGGAAAAAAAAAAATTATACTGGATGGGAGGTAACCGGCCAAAGCTCTTGTTTTCTGGGCTTTGTCTAGGTCCCTGGATGAGTCAGCCCATCTATTTGGCTTGTCCAAGCCACACCTGGTGGTATATGCCTGTAATCTCTGCACTAAGAAGGCTGAGGCAAGACGACCAATTGTTTGAGTTTTAGGCCAGCTTGTATACATAGTGAGTTCAAGTCTAGCCTGAACTACATAATAAAACCCCATCTCAAAAGACCAAATAAAAAAATATGAAATATAAATATTTGATTTGTCCCCCAACTGTCTGTTCTTTCCTTAATCACCAGCATTGCTTGCCCTGACCAACACAGCAGACTCCTGACTCATCTTACAGCATCCAATGGGGCTCCCCATCCCCATCCCTGCTCCTGTCAGCCCATTGTCCTTACAGCCTGTGACAACTTTAAAAAAAAAAAAAAGTCAAGCTAATTATTTTATTTCCTGCCTACAACCCTCAACTCTCCCTCCCGGCACCTAAGGGAGAGATATTTGCATACACTGAAATTAGAATCAAAGCCACTTCAGTCTTTAAGACCGTGCCTGCCCCCTAAATCCAGCTGAACTCTGTGGGTTCACTGGCTGTCCTTGCTTTCCTGGAAGGACTAAGCTCCCTCCACCATGGTCTGGTTCTCAGGAATACAGGAACTGCCAGAGGAGACTCCGGACCAGCAAAACCTGCACTTGGATTCACAATACCTGGAACATCCATCCCTTCCTTCCAGAAAGCATTTTCTGACCCCCAGAGTAGAAGATTTTCTTGTTCCCTCTGTCAGTGGCTTCACTGTGAAGATCTGATTGAAGGCTGTCTTTCCAGCCAGTCAGCGATCACAGGGGAGGAAGGCTATCTGTCTTGTTCA